TGAACTCCCAAAACTTACTGCCAGATTCTGGAAGATAAATTCTTCAGTGGTACAAGAGGATGTGGTGCTGGTCCTTCTCAACTTATCTGTCTATAAAGCACATATATATATATCAGTCTTCAAGCATTTTACTACACTTCAGTATGTAATTCTTATTAAGTAGGGGTCCTTTTTTAGGATTCTATACTTATGGAATTATGGCACATTGTAACGTTGTGTTGAGCACTTATAACAAGTCAGAAAACACAATGACAAATTCGAAAACAAAATAACAAGTCAGAAAGCTTTTCAGAATTGTGATTTGCTTTGCACTTCTCGGCCACCATAGAGCAAGCTAGTGAAACGTTGCACGCACAAAAGAAAAGGTCTGCACACATCCAAAAACGTATTTTAAATGCAAAATTGATTTCCGTGCGCTCTAAAGACTTTTTTCTTTGCGAAACGAACATTTTCTCCACAAAGTCAGATCGCGCGCGTGCAAAATGCACTTTTGTGCGCTCAAAATATGATCTTTCGCGCGCAGAATTGTGGCAGAAATGTAAGCCCATACTGTCTGACTCACACCTGAAGCGCGCGCACAAGTCGCATGTCTCTTCAGTTCTGCCGCACACGTGCAAAGCGCACGCACACACAGAGAGACACGTTTCAGACGGCGCGCGAACACTGAGTTGATTCGTCTTTCGCATCTCCTCATATTTGAACAGACACATACACACAGAATTATGTCAATAGTACCCGTCTCGACGATCATTCTCGTAAACGCAGTCGGTTATGTTTTAAATGAATGAAAACAGCTGAGAAAGAAATCGGATGTGTATCATTATACTGGATCCGTGCAGTCGGATTTAAAAGGACAGCAGCCTATAAATACGTGCTGCTGAATATGTCACTAATGTTAATCAAACAACAAAACAGCTATAACAAATATTAATCTAAATTTAATTCATACAGTGAACACTATGCAGTGCTATTTTACACTTAATTATTAAATTTCTGTGCCTGAATACTACTGTTTATATTATCTATGCTTGTAAATTGTGTTTTTCTTTTTTACTGACCACATTTGCCTATAATCATGTTTGAACTTTCTCAGACTATAGTTTTTGCTGTGGTATATGAAGAAGTACTTAAAGTGTATGGAAAGCAAAGTTACAATGATATAAAATTAGTGTCATTATTTTTTTTGTGTGTGTGTTCACACTGATGTTCAGAAGTTGTAGTGATTCTTTCTTTTCCAAGAAAGAATGTGAAACAAATTGGTTATATAATTTTCATTTTTAAATATTTTTAAATATAATTGAAATTGAGTTTACACAATATCGGATCTCATATCGAATATCGCATTTTTTAACAAGGTATGCATATCGCATTTTTCTTCAATATCGCACAGCCCATTGTGCAGTATTTCTGGAAAAAAAACCTGATTAATTAAAATCAATTAATTGGAAATGCTTTTGATTATTAAAATGTAATGGAACCATTAAAATGGAATCCAGAAAATAATGGAAAACAGAATTTGGTAAAGATGAAACTGTAAAACGCAATCAATTAGACAGGCTTTTTGAAAATGAAAAAAAAAAAAATTTAATTTGGAAATAGTGAACAAAAGCCTTTAAAATTACTTAAAATACATAGCAATGAGGCAATAATAATTAGTTCAAATAAAGTATCAAAAGCAAGAAATCATATGGTTTTATTGAACAAAAATGTTAAAATATATAATGTATTATGAACAATAGAGCAAATGTACATTACGCATTACAACAAAGGCCTGCAGAGGGTGCCAACGGCCTGATGATTATCTTTACACATTGCTGTGCGATCTAATACTTGTTTAATTTTGACCAAGCAGCATTTAATTCAAATGTCCACTTAATCTTTAATATTTGGCCATTTCTTTAGGACAGAAATGCTATAGCCACTGTAATTAAAAGAATGTGGACATCAAAATGTGTAAACTCAGAGTGAGGGTTTGAGCTTTTATTTTGAAACCGCGATGTATTCTCCTGTGTTTGCGTAGATTTATAAATGATTTACCTTACAAATCTAATTAAATGGCGCACGTTGCGTTCCCAGATGGACGTTATAATAAACCCAAACTCACAACAACACGCAGAGATGGAGTTTGAGACGCTCCACACAGGTAAATGATAACAGTTCCTGTGGAACTACTGTGAACGGAGCCGCTTGTGTAACGCATTGTACTTAACCTACTCGCATGTAAATAATTAAAGCACATATACTGTATTAGAACTGCATCGCATATAATTATTTAATTAAATCGTAGCGTTTGTGCATTCACAATTATGCTTAATTATGATTTTTAAATGGGTTTAATATATCTTGTAACCTTGGGAAATGTGAAAATGTGTTTTATGGATTCTCGTCCATGAAATGCGAGCAAAATGAAGTCAAGGATTTTTACAAATCAAATAGTCGAATAAAATCGACGAATCGCGACAGCCTTAATTTTTTAGTATTTCTCAGGTGGCGGGTTTCAAGTATAACTCGTTTGAAGTAATGGTGCTTCATATAACATTATCCAGAGAAACAAGTGTTAATGATAAATCCCCTGTGATATTTGTACTGGCTACTGAATACAGGCCACCAGGGCACCATGCAGACTTTATTAAAGAATTTGCTAATTTTATATACGAGTTAGTGCTGGCTGCAGATAAAGTTTTAATTGTTGGTGATTCTAATATCCATATTGATAATGAAAAATATGCATTGGGATCAGCATTCATAGACATTCTGAACTTTATTGGGGTTAGACAACACGTGTCAGGACCTACTCATTGTCGAAACCATACTCTAGATTTAGATTTAATACTGTCATTAGGATATGTCCCCAAAACCTTCAAACTGGCTGTTATTAAGCCTCTCATAAAAAAAAACACAACTTGACCCCAAAGAACTAATTAATTGCAGACCGATGTCGAATCAAACTTTTCTGTCCAAGATACTAGAAAAGGTAGTATCCTCACAATTATATTCCGTCTTAGAGAAAAATGGTATCTGTGAGGAATTACAGTCAGGATTTAGACAGTATCATAGTACTGAGACTGCTTTCATTAGAGTTACAAATGACCTGCTCTTATCATCTGATCGCGGTTGTATCTCTCTATTAGTGCTATTGGATCTTAGTGCTGCGTTCGACACTATTGACCACAACACACTTTTTTCATACTTCTTTTGAATAGACTAGAAAACTTTGTTGGCATTAATGGAAGTGCATTAGCATGGTTCAAATCGTACTTATCTGACCGCCATCAATTCGTAGCAGTGAATGAAGAGGTATCATATCGACCACAGGTGCAGTATGGAGTACCTCAACGCTCAGTACTAGGGCCGTTACTTTTCATGCTTTACATGTTACCCTTGGGAGATATCATCAGGAAACATGGTGTTAGCTTTCACTGTTGTGCTGACGATACTAAGCTCTATATTTCTTTGCGGCCTGGCGAAACATACCAATTGGAAAAACTAACGGAGTGTATAGTCGATATAAAATCTGGATGATGAGTAATTTCTTACTGCTAAATTCTGAAAAAACAGAGGTGTTAATTATAGGACCTAAAAACTCTGCACGTTATAACCTAGAACACTGACTAACATTTGATGGATGCTCTGTTAATTCTTCGTCATCAGTTAGGAACCTAGGTGTGCTATTTGATAGCAATCTTTCCTTTGAAAGCCACGTTTCTAGAATTTGTAAAACTGCATTTTTCCATCTCAAAAATACATCTAAATTACGACCTATGCTCTCAATGCCAAATGCAAAAATGTTAATTAATGCGTTCATGACATCAAGGTTAGATTATTGTAATGCTTTATTGGGTGGTTGTTCTGCACGCTTAATAAACAAACTCCAGCTGGTCCAAAATGCAGCAGCTAGAGTTCTTACTTGAACCAGGAAGTATGACCATATTAGCCCGGTTCTGTCAACATGGCACTGGCTCCCTATTACCTTGTCTCCTAGACGGCCACTGGGACAAGACCACAGGAACCAGTTGAGTCCTCTGCACAATGTGATTTTGCTGCAGCCTGGAATTGAACTGCTGGTTTCGTCTGGCCAGAGGAGAAATGGCCCCCTGACTGAGCCTGGTTTCTCCCAAGGTTTTTTCTCCATTCTGTCAACGATGGAGTTTTGGTTCCAAGCCTCTGGCTTGCTTAGTTGGGGACACTTAATTTCCAGCGATATCGTCGACTTGATTGCAGAGACACTATTTAAACTGAACTGAGCTGGATGATGACATCACTGAATTCAATGATGAACTGCCTTTAACTGAAAATTTAGTGTTTACCATTGTCATTTTGCATTATTGACACAATATTTTCCTAATTAATGCTGTACAGTTCCTTTGACACACTCTGTATGGTTAAAAGCTTTATATAAATAAAGGTGACTTGACTTGACTTGACTTGATGTCACTAGCTCCGCCCTTGTGCCATAGCTTTCGACCGGAAGAGAAGTTGAGTCGTTTTGAGGACTGGGGAGGGGAGGTTAACGTTTTTGAAATCTAAGTGCACGGATAAATTATTTATAATAAACACCATTAAATTATAAGAATTTGATTTCATGCCGACTTTAATCATTTATATTATTTTTTTTTTAATACAAATAATATTGGAAAACTTGGAATATAGTGAACTTGTCATACGGACTCCATTGGATATTTATGGAATTTGTAGATTTATCATGCTTTATTAGTATTTTTGTTCTTTTAGGAGCTTCACAGCCATTGGGAACTGTAAGTTTGATGAAAGTAGTGTTTTATTGAAATGAGCTGCATGGGTAATGGTTTGGAACGAAAGTACTTAATGACTGAATCAAATGTGTTTTTAATATAATGTTGCATTGGGTTCAGTTGAGATGGTCTGACCTGTGCAGGTGTACCAGGTCTGAATGAGGCCCCATATGATAGTGCTACACTTGTCACACATCTGTTTGACACTCTTGCTTTTCTCCTTTGAGAATCGATGCTCTAATAGAACCTGCAGGTTCGGCTCATCTTCCTCTGGGTCCTGTTTATATCCAACACAACAGTAAAACACAAAATTCCACTATTTATTTATACAATTTACCACTAGCCAAAACTGAATTTATGTTTATCATCAACTAAAAAAATGTTTTGATCTAAATATACAGTGGAACCCTTAGTGGATACAGAAACAGAGCATTTACCCTGATATATATTCTATACAACAGCAGAGTGTTTCAGAGTAACATTTGAGTGAAAGTGACGTGACATGTGGCCAAGTATGGTTACCCATACTAGGAATTAGTGCTCCTAAGTGCACACACACAGCAGTGAACACACACACACACCGTGAACACACACCCGGAGCAGTGGGCAGCCATTTATGCTGCGGCACCCGGGGAGCAGTTGGGGGTTCAGTGCCTTTACCAGTCGTGGTATTGAAGGTGGAAGAGAGCACTGTACATTCACTCCTTTGGGTTACGAGTCCGACTCTCTAACCATTAGGCCACAACTTTTTAACATTTGCATAGCACCATATTAATGTATTTGCATACTTTTTATGATGCTTACATTATAAATCTATTAAACTAAGAAAAAAAGTAAATGTGTACATCACATTTTAATTAACTTATGCATTTAATGGGGAAAGACAATGAAAGATTTAGCTAAACTTTATTAGAGTAGCTTCCCTTTAACATATATCACATAATACACATACAGCAAAACATTAATAAGTTGAATTGACTACAAAAACATAGCTATATTGCACAATAATAGTATATTGCACCAAGTCTTGTATTCGAAGTGGGGAAAAATAATTCTATTACACTAATGCCAAGTTCACACTGCACGATATTAGCCCGATTTTTCACTCGCCGACAGGTATTGCGAAATCGCCGAGAAATGCCCGACATTATGAGGCAAATCTGTGCTCGTTCAATCGAGTGACAATCACACAGTGTGAATTATCAAAGACGCGATCTGAGGGAATCGCCGACATGTTACCGATGCCCGTGAAATATTTGGCATGCTAAATATCTGGAGCTGTCGGCAATTCACAATCACACTGTGTGAAATGAGTTCTGACTGAAAAACACATCGGCGATGACCTACAGCCAATGAGAGACCAAGATACAGGGCAGCGGGAAGTTCGGGGAGGAGTTATATGAAATGTAGTTTGCGGACCAATGTTGCCAAATCCACGATTGCCGTCAGTTGTTTTTTATGTCAGCAGGTTGAAGCGACCCCAATAACATGATATTTAGGCCCTGGAATGTGAATTGTACCAGGAGAACCCTGCCAAAAAAATTTGTATTTTACCCTCCCGAATGCTATTTTTACTGGGGGACCCCCTTGAAAGCAATTGGGCTATTTTCAGGCTAGTTTTGAGTAGTAATTGGACGGGATTTGTAGCGAAAACCTGGCAACCCTGCACCACACAGAGCTGTCGGCGATTCTTCCTATTGTGAAGTCATGTAATGTGAAACCCCCTGTTGCCGATCCATCGTGCAGTGTGAACACAGCAGCGACTGAATGCTACCCCAGATAGTCACGCAGTGTGAAAACAACGGCGATCCGACGAGTTTGAAAATCGTGCAGTGTGAACTCGGCATAAGACTGACATTTAAATTGAAAAATGTATATGAGGTCAACGCATATTGAAGGTCATAATGTTTATAGCCCTAGGAAAGAAACTGTCCTTAAATCTTCTAGTCCTTGTTTTAATGCACCGGTAACGCCTGCCCGATGGCAACAGCTGAAACAAGTGAAACCCAGGGTGTCTTGAGTCCTTCAGTATATTTTTGGCCTTATTGAGGGCTAGAGAATTATATACCTACTTCAGTGATGGAAGGGGTCTGCCAGTGATCCTCTCTGCAGTTTTAATGATCCTTTGAAGCCCTCTCTTGTCTGCCTCAGAGCAGCTAGCATACCATACTGTAATGCAATACATCAGCACACTCTCAATAGAACAGCGATAAAAGTTTACCAGCAACTTTCCATTCAGATTGTTTTTCCTAAGGATCCTTAAGAAATGTAGACACTGCCGTGCCTTCTTTATAACCGCTGTAATATGTGCCGTCCAGGATAGGTTAGCAGAGATGAGGGTGCCCAGAAATGTGAAGTTTTGGACCTTCTCAACACAATATCTGTTGATATATAGGGGGAGCGGATTCGTTGTATGTTTCCTGAAGTCTACAATGAGCTCCTTCGTCTTACAGGTGTTTAAAGTCAGGTTGTTATCTGAACTCCATGATGTTAATTGCTGGACCTCATCTCTGTAGTCCGTCTCATCCCCTCAGTGATAAGTCCAATCACCGTTGTATCATCCGCAAATTTGATGATGGTATTACTGTGATGAACTGGGCTGCAATCATAGGCGTAGAGAGAGTACAGTAGAGGGCTCAACACATAACCCTGTGGAGAGCCGGTGCTGAGTGAGCGGGTGGAGGAGACATAAGGACCCATCTTCACACCCTGAGAACGGTTTGTCAGGAAGTCCTTAATCCAGTAGCAGGTGAGAGTGGGAAGTCCTATGTTGGCCAGTTTACTTACTAGGATGTCCGGGATAATGGTATTAAATGCTGAACTATAATCAATGAACAGCTCCCTGAAATAGTTTCCCTGTTTTTCCAGATGACTCAGTCCAGTATGTAGAGCTAGAGCTATAGCATCTTCAGTAGATATATTCGCTCTATAAGCAAATTGATGCTCGTCAGAGGTGGAAGGAAGACTGGCTTTAATATGATGCAAAACCAGCCTCTCGTAGCACTTCATGATTACTGGTGTAAGTGCCACTGGGCAGTAGTCATTAAGACTGCTTGGCAATGATGTTTTGTGGATTGGTATGATGGTAGCTGACTTCAGGCAGCGTGGTATGATGGCTTGTGTCAGGGACTGATTGAAGATATTGGTGCAAACCTGTGCCAGTTGGTCAGCACATGCTCTGAGTACCTTCCTAGATACCCCGTCAGGGCCGGTTGCTTTTTTCAGGTTCACTGATCTAAGCACCCTTCTCACCTCATGCTCCTGTAAAGTGAGTATGTGGGTGTTACCTGCTGGTATAGGCCGAAGTGATGAGACTGTATTTTGCTGGGTTGCCTCGAAACGTGCAAAGAAGCAGTTCAGCTCCTCTGCCAGTTGGGCAGAGTGATTAATCCCTGCAGTAGTAGCACAGCCCCTGAAATTTGTGATGTTCTGTATACCCTACCACGTCCGCCTTGAGTCATTTCCTGAGAGATAATCTTCTATCTTCTTCTTGTAGACCTCCTTAGCCTCTTTGATCCCTCTCCGCAGCTTAGCTCTCACAGCACTGTATAGAGCTTTGTCACCTGTTCTAAAGGCAGCATATTGGTTGCTCTGTTGTTTGTCCATGACATTTAACAGAAGGGCAAGAGCATTGTTTGTATTGGCATCGTGTGGTATATAAACAGCCGTTATAATCACTACAGTTAGCTCTCTTGGTAGAAATTTTTTTTAAATAAATAAATTTCAAGTCAGGTGAGCAATGAGTATCTATGATTTCACTGTTATTAGTCCATTCATTATGAATATATAAACAAAGTCCGCCACCCTGCTCTTACCGGAGCTCTTGTTTCTGTCACAGCGATGCATCATTCGACCTGCTAGCTGTACGGGGGCTGTACGGGGGCAACTGGTGCAGCCAGGTTTCAGTTATGATTATTACACAACAATGGTGTACATAACGGTTTTCACAGATGTAAAGATCCAACTCATCCATTTTATGCACAATCAATCTAACGTTGGCAAGAAATAAGCTCGGCAGTGGTAGCTTGAATGGATGTTTCCTGAGCTTTGTTCGTAGGGCCACCTGACTTCCCAGCTTCTGCTTCCTCTCACATTGCCGTGGAGACCACGGAGATCCTGGTGGTCTGGCCAGTTCCTCTGGTATGTTATTAGTGTGGTGAAAGCTGGCAGTGATGGCTATCTTATGCTTAAATCCAATGTCCAATAAATCCTGCCAACTGTAACACAGAGTTTTGAAGGATATCATGCTCATACCAAACAACAGAAACAAAAACAAACACCGTGTGAGGGAGCCAAAAGCCGCTGCGTCCGTGCACGCCGCCATCATGCGTGTACAGTTGCGCTGCAACTTAAGAGAAAACATGCAAATGAAAAATCACCAGCAAATTAGGAAAACATCATCATCAGTTTGACAACACATGTACCGCAAATACTCACAACACAACCAAATACAGAAACGTGCTGCAAATACTCACAACAACACAATCAAATACAGAAACGTGCTGCAAATATGCACAACGCTACCAAATAGAGAAACACATTGCAAGAAGCACAGACCACAACAGAACCCTTACGAAAATGAACCATGGATTTACTACAAATAAAACAAAAAAACATGGTTATTTATAGTTAAACCGTGGTAACCACAAATGAATCATGGTTTTGCTACACTAACCATAGTTTAACAATGATATTTTTAGTAAAACTGTGGTTATAAAATGGTAGTCAATACGCCAAAAAAAGTGGTTACAACACTTTTACTATAATAAAACACAGTTTTATTATTTAAAATGTTTGATTTGTGTAATGGAAATGTTTAAAGTGGACCTCAACAACCCTTATGAAAATTAACCATGGTTTTATTTTAGTAAAATTGTAGTAACCTTTTTTCCTGTATTGATTACCATTTGTATAACCAGTTATACAAATACCATGGTTAAACTATGGTTAGTGTAGCAAAACTATGGTTAATTTGTGGTTACCATTTTTTAACTATAGTAGTAGCCATGTCTATTTTATTATTATTATTTTAACAGTAAAACTATGGTTAATTTTCGTAAGGGAAGTTGTAAAAGAAAGTTAGCCAGCTTACGAAACGTTTCTCAGTTACATTAATTGTGTATTTCGTCAGCTTAATTAGGCTAATAATATCCAAAAAAGCTAAGGAATCATAAGATCAGGGTGTTAAACAAAAATCTTGCCTTTCAGAGTAGACATTGTGTTTCGAGAATTTGCAGCACGTTTCTGTATTTGGTTATGTTGTGAGTATTTGTAGCACGTGTTGTCAAACGGATGTGCTTCTGTTATTTAGTTGTGTTGTAAGCATTTGCAGCGCGTTTCCATGTTTGTTTGTGTTGTGAGTATTTGCAGCACATTTCTGTATTTGGCTGTGTTGTGAGTATTTGCAGCGCGTTTCTGTATTTGGTCATGTTGTGAGTATTTGCAGCACGTGTTGTCAAACGAATGAAGATGTTTTCTTAATTTGCTGGTGTTTTTACTATTTGCATGTGTGTGTGTGTGTGTGTGTGTGTGTGTTCTCAGCCACCGTACTATTTTCACTTTGTTCATTGTTAATTATTAAAACCAATAATTGTCTCCAAATTTTGACTGGTAGTGCAAACCTTTAATTCCTGTAGTTTGAGCCGAAGGTGGATCAGTTTGATGACTGTGTCCTTCTGTTTCTCTGAATGTTCTGGCAGTTCCAGGATCAGTCTCTTGCACTCTGCTATGGCCTGTTTTAGCTGGTCTACATCAGATGCCACAAACGAACCCTGTGCAAACATTCACACACTTCAGTGCTTCAAATAACAGGATAAGCAACTCATGCTGAATCACTTACTTTCATGAGAGGTTTCAATGCATGAAGGGATAGTTCACCTAAAAGTCTCAATTCTGTCACCTAAAGCTGTTCCAAACCTGACTTTCTTCTGTGGAACACATAAAAGATCATTTGATGAATGTTTCACCTGTTTTGTCTAGACAGAGAAAGTCAGGTTTCAAGTTCCAAAAAGGACATAAAGAATAATATAAATGCAGGGCTAAATTTATTTTTTTCTATCAATCTCGCTCAGATTGGCTGTTTCTGACACGATACCTTTTCTAATAAATAAAGTTATGACAACAAAAATCTTACATACCAGTGATATTGGACATTTTTTTATTGGACATATTGATTCCAATTGCTACACCAGAGCAAAGGTTACAAATGTAACCATGGTTCCCTGAAGGAAATGAGATGCTGCATCGGAAAAACATTTGTTAAACCTCTTTTTGGCCCCTCAGTGGCCACACGCACAGTTTCCATAACTCCGGTTGAGGATGAACAATTGTGTCAGAAGGTCTTTCCTGATCGGAATCTCCCATGGAGACCCGTCGAGAAGGGACACGAGGTCCAAGAACCAAACTCAGTGCGGCCAGAACAGGTCTACTAGTACAAGGCTGAACCCCATCCCGGCGGATTCTCTCCAGAACTCCTGGGAGTAGAGCAATTGGGGGAAAGGCAGAGAGCTGGATGCGCAAGGAAGAACCACAGAGGACAGTGAGTGGTCTCCAGAGACACAAACAGGTTGACTTGAGCCTGGCCAAAAATACTCAAAATCTGCCCCACAACCTCAGGGTGGAGCCTCCATTCCACGAGCCTCAGCCCCTGCCTTGACAGGATGTCTGCTCAGAGCCCGAAACACTGCCTGCATCTCAAGGCAATTTACGTGCCAGGAGAGATGATGGCCTTCCCACAGACCTTGGGCTGAGCTACCACTCATGATCGCTCCTCAACCCGTGAGGGATGCGTCTATCGTGCATGTTACACAACGACACAAAGCACCCAACACAGGTCCCTGAGACTGGAATGAAGGCTTCTTTCACATGGCTAAGACACAAAGGCAGCACCGCGTGACATTGATCATGTGAAATGTGTTGCCCCTCAAAGAAAACCCCTTGGTCCTGAGCCACCACTGCAGGGGTCTCATGTACAGCAGGCCAAAAGTTATCATCTTTGACGCTGCTGCCATCAGACCCAACAGTTCAAATGTATGATGATGAACCAGTCCTCAAACCTGATTTGCATTTGAGTTTCAACGTCAGCATCTTGAATCTGAACATCTTGACTGAGCAGTTGCGTTGGAGCAGATCTACGATGGGACGCATCCTTCTTGGGAACAATGAAGTATCAGCTGTAAAAGCTGGACTTCCTCTCGAGCGGAGGGACGTGCTCTATACCCTCCTTTCTCAAGAGGGTAAAAACTTCTTATTCCATCACCAGAGCCTGCTCAGGATGTACCACAGTAAATGTGACCCTTTTGAATTGACAAATATGCGGCCCTCCCCAGCTCCCTGATGTAATCGGAACTGACTTGTTTACCTTCGTCCAGGTCTTCTTCAGGTAAGCAGGTTGGCCTGGTATGCCTGCAACACTGCTATGGTGTACAGGCATGCGCCAGCCTGACCCGCTGCCATGAAAGCTTTACCTACCAAAACCAAAGTTGTTCTGAGCGGCTTGGTGGGTAGCACCGGAGGGACGATGCTGACTCAGGAAAGTGTCTGTTCAACCCTAGGCATCACCCCATAACCATGCTGCTTCAGCCTCAGAATGCTGAAATAATTAGTGACATTTGGGCTGAATAAGCAAGCTGAATATGGCCTTTCCCATGATCTCGCAACCTCGGCATGGAGATCAGGGGAGAAAAGAAGGCTCCGGTGTGGAGGAGGTGATTTAGAGAGCAGCAAGCGCTCATCCAGTTTAATTCTTGGACATTCTTCCTGCTTCTCATTGAGATAAATTAATTACTTTACATACAGGTTTGGAAAATTACTTTAATTTTGCTACAGCCCTTGTCACCACCTCCAATAGCTCCTCATACTGGATGGACTGGGGTGAAGAGTCCCCAGTCTCATCCTGGTCATGGCCAGCCACATCAACCTCGTCAGAGGAAGACAGGTGAAGCTTTGTGCCCTCACTCTGGGGGGAAGAAATGCAGAGTAGGCTTCCGAACCCTGAGAGAGGGTGCTGAATCTAGTGGGTGAGGGCGAAGAAAAGGCCATGTCCGTCTCAAACCCCTCCTCCACATTCATCTGCCAACCCCCATGACCTAAGTCTCTGAGCTGCCTCGGCAGCTGCGGAACCCATATAATTCTACCAACTGGCCCAAAAGTCCTTCATGCTGGCCCTGGGCCATCAAGCAGTCCTATTCGTTGAGTCATGCACTGTTATATTTTAACCTGTTAAACCGCACCTGTACGCCGGCGCACTGAAAGCTCTTTGTTTGCACGTGTCAATGTTTACAAATAGATTAAATGAAAAGGGACATAATTAATCTTGACAAACAATATATCATTCTAAAGGTCTAAGCCTCAAGCATCGACGACAGATTGCTGTTTTTCAATGGAAAGCTTATAAAGAATGTATTTGCTAAATTTGTGTAAGCAGTACACATCAAAACATGCATAATCAAAATGCAGTACGTACCAGATTCATCGTAATCACGAGTCATAAACACATCCACAGCTGTAAATCCCAGTTTAGTTAGAAGGGTAAGGGTCCACTGTACAACATCCCATAGAGCACTTTTAGTCCAACAAAGCAATAACATTGTAATATGGATGGTAATTCCTTTCTTTATGTCCGATTTCTTCAGGGACAGTTATTGTTGTATCCGTTATGGAATAATTTACTGCATCTTGGTAGTAAAAAGCAACATGGTTTTGTAGCATACAGTGTCACAAACAGAATGAGACCATCCACTAAAAAAAAAGTCGTGGAAAAGATACGTGGAATATTGTTTATTTGAATTCTGGCACACTCTCGTGACGGCTCATGACGCAAGCTGTGATGCACCTGTCATCTTTTGGGGGCATAACTTAGCGATCGGCTCTTTGCACAAATAATTGTCTTTTTTTCCCTTCTTCAACATTTTTCATATATGTGTGTCTGTTTTGTGGGGAATGTGGCTGTATCTGCATGATTACCATCTGTATGACCGCACATCAGCGTGTAATTACTGTCTGTATGACAGCTATCAGTGTGAATGCGGTCTATATGAACGGCCATTAGAGTGTGATTATTGATTATATGGTTGGCCATCTGTATGATAACCATCTGTATGACTTGAAATCTCTTCAGATTTGAAATATAAACTCATGAGACATATGACTTTCAACCCATTACTTTTCTGGATTGCTCCAGGACTGATTTCATGTATTTTTATATGAAATAAAAAAAATCAGAGTGGTACAATTTTGTTCAAGGCACTTCAGTGTCTATAACCTTTTATCTTTTTGAGCATAATCAACTCGATGATGGATAGTAAAGCCCAAAGGGTCTTCTTTCCAAAGACACCAAAATTGTGTGTGTAGCACACTGTTGTCAGGAACTGTTACCATTTTAAGTTAGGTAGGTCATTTTCAGCTGTAAGTCCCAAAATGCAGGTTAACAGGTTAAGTCTTATGAAGACACAGGATCACTTTGTATTGTAGGAGCATGAGTGAACAGGGCCCCCTCCAAAGCTCCTTCTTGGTTTCACCAAAGAGCAAGAAGCCAAGTGAGTGGTACCAATTATCTGAAGCCCAAGCAGAATCACACCAATTCATTGGCAGTGTGCTGAGGCATGGACCAGATCTTGGCTTTCGGTGCATGCCATGATTTGACTTGATTTGAAGTTCTCATAGCATCAGCACTGTTCAAAGTCTTTGCTTCGAGCAAACTCAGGCTCTATGAAAAACTTTGCCGTGCGTCACTGTGTAACCCAGCAACCAGCACACAAGTCTCCAGGCAAATCTGGGCAGCTTCTGCAATCCATTCACCACAAGAGTGGTTTTGCAAGAGGCTACCATCCACATGCTGTTAACCAATCAGCACCACATGGATTCTCTCCTGCAGCCCATGCAACACAGGACAATTTGCCCACAGAGGCAATTTAACACAAGTACAATAATCTACTAACTCCTGCTGAACTGGTGCAAAGATAAATTGTTGTCATACTTTGTCCAAAATCGGCTCAGATGGTCTTTGAACTGAGCTGCACAGAAATGACTAAACAAATGTTTGATATTTATTTTGATCTTTGAGAAATTACACATTGACACACTGTGATAAGTGGCGAGCATCTAACCAGAAGGTTGTGGGCTGAATATGCCATGTGAGGCAATCTCAGATCACAAGACATTCCGAGTACTCCTTATTGCTCATTATCATAGCAGAACAACTGCAGATTAAGTGCTTACCACAGGTTGAGAGAAATGGTCTTCGGCCAAGCCCAGATCCATTGCTCGGTCTGAACGTTGAGTTTTGGATTCTGAGGAAAAGATCTCCGACCTCACCTCTGTGGACACATGATATTGATTCAGATCACACACTGATCCTTCCTTGAGCAAGCACTCTTGTTTCTCACTGAACATTACATCAACACTAGCTACTAAGTATGTGTGACATGGTGTGCCCTCATGTAATCATTAAAGGTGCACTAAGCGATTTTTGCCAAACAATGTTGATATTTGAAAGCACCAAAACAAACACGCCCATACCTCAACAGGACCTCGCCCTTATTTTGAAATCTAAGTCCCACACGTACGTACACAACCATGGCAACGACGATCGTGGAAACAAGTGAAGATGACACACAAGCATATTCAACAACACAGCAACACATAGCCAACACAGATAAGTTGTGTAAAACAAAACAAAATCAACGTTACTCGCCTATCAAGAAGAAACAATGCAACCTTGGCATCCGCTTCCAGGCCTTCCCCACCTTGAGTTCTCTCCACCGCTGGAAAGCTGCTCTGATATTTACGCGGGTCCTACCTCTTGCCTGATCATAACACTTCTTTTTAATGTTTTGTTTCTCTGATAGTTCCCTTTTTTTATCTGCCATCTCTCTCCATCTATAGTCGATCTGCTAATATCCATCCTGTGCACTCAAATTGAGTGCTCTCTTCTCTCTCTATCATTACAAGACACGCCCCCTTACTGCTGATTGTCTACAAGTGTGTTTTGCACCTTTAACATAAGGAAAAGTACAAACGGTGGTTAAGTGTGTTTGAGTTGTACAACTTGGTAATAATTAACTAACTGTAAAAAAGTCTAGTTAATTTGAACATGTTTAATTGATTTTCATGCTAAATACACGTAATGTGTTATGAGGATCAGGCAGCAAAATTCAATTCAAGTCAAATTCAAGTCAAAAAGTGGCAACAATATAGAGAAAAGTGATATTTATTTGACATGGAGTCTTGATTTGTAGGTCATTATAAAGAGACTTTACTCAATGAAGAATTACCTTTACCAGCAAAAGTATAAGTATGTGAACTGCATGCAGTGTGTAATGTTTTATTCCTCCAAATAAATATTATACACTAGGGATGCAACAATACAGTTAGTCCACAGTTCAATACATACCTCGGTTTTTAACCATGGTTTTAAGTTAGGTTTGGTTCTGATAGCTTGGCACATTATAGGGGGTTTTTTGCAACAAAGTAACAGCAAATTGGGGTTAGTTTTCCCTCTTTTCCTCGCTTTCCTTCCGTTTTAAATACCTTGTAAAAGCGCATTTTACTTTCATTTTCAAATTAGCAGCAATTTGCCATCAAGCAGTTGTTTGTTTTTAGTTCGTTTGAGTTTACCCTCTTTTCCTCACTTTCCTTCGTTTTTAAATAGCTTAAAGCGCAGTACATATTTTACTTTCACTTTCAAATTAGCGGCAATTCTGCATCAATTGCTTGAATTCAATTCAAGCAACAACAAAATACAATGTAGAACATAGAACTTGTATTACCAAAACGAATAAAAATACACAATGTTATATGCCTAATATAAAATAACAAATAACTTGCACAAAGTTTAGGTATACAAACTGAAGATCAGTAAACAATCTGGAACCAAATAAATAAGAAACGTACATTTATTAGCAAAACGAATAAGAAAGCATGGAGACATGGCATACTTGATGTAAGATATAAAAAAAATACACAGTTTAAATAAAAATCAGCAAACACTGTGGAACCAAATAAATAAGAAACAAATGTTTTTTTTTTTTTAAACTTCCAATATCATCTTAGATAAATGGCAAAAGTCAACAGGCTTTTAAAAATCCAAAATATTTTTAAAACTGACGCTTTTGCATGTTGTTTTGAAACTCTTCTGCCATCGTCTTGGCAAGTGGGCAAGTGACATAACCGGTATTGCGCCTTCACACCGTTAAAACCATCAATACTGTCTATCACAGCAACCCTAATATGCATCATAGAAGTAACACAGATGACGTTCCAGGAAATCCTTAATATGGATAAAGGCAGTAGCTATACCCGGCACCTAATGTCAACTTGATTGATGGCTTTGACCTTTGTGACCTTTCCCCCTCCCCCACGTAGTGACCGCCCACGTTGCGACCACCCACGTTGTATTGACGCCGGTGACCTATCCAGATGTGAAAACAGGCATATGTGAAATTCCGACGTCAACCTTTGACCTCCAGGGATCAAAAATGATGTTTGTTCAGCTGTATGTCCGTTTCAGAGGATGGCAGGCTATAAATGAAGACCTTAGGAATGTTTTGAAGATTTTAATGGTCCATTCCCTCATCCGGGGGTTAGCCTCATCTGGGTCCGAGTGTCTGGTTGCATTCCAAGGCAGGGCATTTTTGCTCTCTCTCTCTCTCTCTTTCTTTCACTCACACACACACACACACACACAAACACACACACACACACACACACTGTCATTCTGATAAATTGAAAATAAAAATGTTTAGCTTAATGAATAAATAAAGAAATGGGGAAAATCCCTCACATTTTACAGGAAGCGGGAACCAGAATATGCCATTGCATTATTTCAGTAACGTCTCAAACGATATGTTTAAGATCTGTATCCCCTCTAAGTCTAACAAAACCCCCAGGAAGATGGCGGATCAGTGGACTGTGATGGTATGGCATGGAGCTAGCCATTACTTTGCAGTCTCGATTCGAACCTCATGCAGACCGGGGTTTAGAAATGTTTTAATTATTCAGTTAATATTACATTTATTCACGCATTTTTAAATATTATCTAGACTTGTTTTATTTCACAGTGTTTTGGGTACACAGTGTTTTGGCTACATTGCATACAAGGATCATGACTGTCTATCTTTCCTATTCTAACTTGCAGAAAATTGTACCGGATAACATTGCTGGAATGTTTACAGACAGTCTCATGTGGCTATATTTACAGACGTAATGTTACGCTTTGTTTTAAGAATTGTTAAAATTGCTTGTTCTTGTTTTATTTCACAGTGTTTTGGGTACACAGTGTTTTGGCTACATTGCATACAAGGATCATGACTGTCTATCTTTCCTATTCTAACTTGCAGAAAATTGTACTGGAGAACATTGCTGGAATGTTTACAGACAGTCTCATGTGACTATCTTTACAGACGTAATGTTACGCTTTGTTTTAAGAATTGTTAAAATTGCTTGTTTAAATAACAACGAGCCCTCTTTACATATGCTTTGGATTTAACCGCAACGACATAAATATTCTTAATTTAGACACGGTTGTAAAATACGCAGTCCTAAGGTATCAGGGCATTTTTGCTCTCTCTCTCTCTCTCTCTCTCTCTCTCGTTCTCTCTCTCTCTCTCTCTCTCTCTCACACACACACGCGTGCACATTCAATCGCCCCAAGTCTTATTCTCTTCTTTTAAATGAAAATAAATGAATAAATTATGTGTTCGCACATTATATAAAACAAAGGAAAACATTTACACTAGTTTTAGTCATCACTAAAAATATAAAAACGTTGTACATTTTACCAGGATCGGGAAAAATATATAATTTAACAGGCTAAACGATATGTGCTATTGGGGGCCCCGACATGTCCGGACATTTCATTGTCATGTTTTATGCAGACTTTACATTGACATAATTCAATTCAATTTAAATCACATTTACTTTTAATATTTTTCACAAAACAAGTTGTCGCAACGCAGTTGAACAGATAAACATCATGTTTAGAATCTTTAATATTTATATTTACATTATATTAATTAATTTTATACACTATCATCCCCTAAATCTACCATCATAGTAAACATTCTACATTTTTTTTTATATTTTCAGAAACATCATTTAGCATAATTTATAATTTAAAAAAGCTGTTATGCTCATGGGGACAATCATTTGGAGTATTACAACACTCCATTATGACATTCCATAGACATAATGATTTTTACTGTACAAACTGTACACCTATCCATCACACATAAATTCGGCATACATACATTTTTAATAAAATATTGTTTTTAAGTGATCCAAATGATGAGGAATCAAAAAATATCCTCATAAACACATTACATTGTTATATCAGTGTAATAACCATGTCATTATACAAATTTGTGTTCTGATAAAAAACATTTTACCATCACACTGTGTATCTCTACAAGATGATGAAAAGCAGTATGATTAAACAATGACGTAACTTTTGTTTTAAAAAATAAGCTAAATTTTGACCATATCCACAAACCATGATGCTCCAATGCATGGGGTTAGAAATAGTCAAATGAGCCTCTGATGAATGCAAGGCGCTTACAGAGAGTTTTCTTTATGAATTAGACCTAAATTAGACTGAAAATCAGTTGTCATAAGGTTGTTTGTAACAAAAGTACTTTTTAAACAAGGCGCTACGAATGTCTCTCAGAATTTTTACAACAGATAAAAGTTTCTTTCTCAATTTAAAAATTGTATTATTAACCATGATGGCTCATAAAACAAGCCTGGACCCAAACTGAAGCATTCTAACAACAAGTACAACCATTGCAGAAAATGTATTATAGCACCGCGGTAAGATATAACTCTGGATGTGTGATTGACCAAATTATCAGATGTTCAACATATTATTACAAGTCCCTGCTTACCTAGTTTATGATGAAACAAAAAAATATAGGCATGAGCTAGCAATCACCTTGGATAAAATCAACAGCAGTACAGAGTATAAAAAGACAATGCAGAAAAGCTGAGCGGATGTGGCGGAAGACGAAACTTGAGACTTCAAACAGATAACTTAAACAACACTCGCATACAAACAACAATAGCAAAATTTTGGAAGAAATAGTACAGCACCTTAAATCGTCAACTTGCTATCTTGGCATGCTTTCCACATCTTTTTTCTAAATAGTGTTTAACTGTTTTTTAAGCAGATCTCTTAGAAGTGGTGAATGCCTCACTTCTTTCTGGGACTTTTCCAAACTCCCTGAAAAAAGCAGTTGCTAAGCCCCTCCTGAAAAAGAGCAATCTTGATAACACCATATTGAGCAACTATAGACCAATATCAAATCTTCCTTTTACAGGTAAG